GGAAGTCAGAGCCCATATCAGTCTTTTGCATCTGGATAGCCCTAGATTGACTTTAAACAAGCTGTTGAAACTCTCTAAGCCACCTGTACCCTTACCTGGGAACTAATTAAGATAATCCATGGGTACCTGAATGGGGATGAGTGCTCCACAGTAATTGCTGACTTCTGTCTGTATGTATATAGATGGTTTCCCTCAAAATAGATCCCTACCTATTTTTCTAGTTCTTGCATTTCTTCTTTCCCAACCCAGATTGTCTCTTTAAGCCAAGTGGATTTGTTTATTAATCCATGAACTTGTATTTTTCGCCATTCATTTAGCAAATATTCTTTATATCTCTCATCTCCATCCATAAAGTTTGCCCTGACCACACAACGTAAGATGATCATTTATTTGAAATGATCAGTTCAAATAAAGTTGAAAAGATCATTCTAATGTCATGAATGACTAAAAAGAATCAATAAAAAAATCATAGAAAATAAATTGCATTTATTTTAGCTCCTAGTCATGTGCAATTGTGTCTTTTTGTTGTTGTTGAACTATCAAGTATTTTATTGTTTAATTATATATGTTCATTCCATATATCTCCCAAGGCAGACTGCATTTAAACAAATGCTGGACTCTGAAGGCAGGGAGAGTACTAAATCATATTTCACATAACAAGAGCTCAATAAAGCTGTGTTGATTTGGAAAAATACACTTCAGCTTTATCTTCTTTTTATTTCTTCCTTTTCTGTTATGAGTATCTGATCAAAAATTTATGTTGAAAATTACAGAAACATGTATTGCCTCTCTCCAAGGAAAAAATTTTTTCAGCACAAGGAATGTTTGGGGAACAAGCCACATTTGAGGGCTGTGAATTTAAGAAACAGTATGTATTCTCCTTCCTCTCTGCCTTCCTGATGAGCCCCCCAATCTCTTAAAGCTTTGTTTCTATCCATCCCACCTTTCCATAACCTACCAGGGAGAGGATTCTTCCTCCACCTGAAATCGTAGACTCTCTGTTAGCAAATGTTGTTTTGTTTCTCTTTGTTTATTCACTTAGTTTCCCCACTGGTCTGTGTGTAGAGGAAGACAAGGATTTTTTTTTTTCCTTAGCTTAGTATCAGTGACATTCAGCACAGAACTTTACTCATAGAAGGAGCTTATTAACTACTGAGGCAGTGCAAAATACAGAGACTTGTATTCAAGTGGTAGAAATAGGATATGGCAAAGATGATAAATACAAAATAGAGAAGCATTTATTAAATTCTCCAGGAGTGATACAAGGAATAAGATGCATGGGTTTGAAAAGAGTGTTTGAGGAAAACTAGAGAAGAAAGCTTGGACAAAGTACAACTTGATAGAAGGGTCAGATGTGGCCAAGAGTAGAAGACTGAGGAGGTCATTGCATACAGAAGATATTAACTTTGTAAAGGAACAGGGTCAGTGTATCAGTAAGAGTTTTTGGTTGCCTATGACAGAATCAAGTTTAGCTAGTTTGTACAAAAGGAGTTTATTGAGGAGTTCAGAGAGATCATACACTCTCTAGACCAGAGAACAAGACTTAAATGGTAAGTTACCCTGTCATATTCTAATATCAGGGATTCTAGAGATGAGACTTTTTCAGCTTTTACATTGGGAAGGTGAAATAAGACTATCAACATAATAGTCAAACCATAGTATGGTATTAAACTGTGTTAGGTGGCCATAGATGATTTTGTGCCTGAGCATGTTTGAGTGACAGTGATGAGATCCAGTAACCTAAAGCAAAGGTCTTTGGAAGAATACCAGGAAATAAAGTTGAAAAGATCAGGAAGAGCCAGATCCAGGAGAGTCTCAAATCGCACATCAAAGAATGTGAAGTTCTCTCTGTGTGAAAGGGGAGCCATGGAGGATATTTGAATGTCTGCATGTGGGGGTGGGAGAGTGAGCAGCATTCTGGAAAATGTCATATTTTGGCATTTCTTGAAGGCTTGGTAATTTATTCACAGAAGAGAGTGCTCATGAGGAAGGAGAACCTGAGGCCTGGCACTGGAGTCCCTTTGAGGGAAGACTGGCTTTGGAGAGGAGGGGGATAGTTTGGGTGACAGTGAACGTTCAAGAAATGATGATGTGGGATGTGAGGGCCACCCAGCAATGAATCAGCCACCTCACTGATTAACAGGTTTGATTCAGCTGATCTGGTTGCCTGAGTATTGTCCCCTTCTTCCTCCACCCCTTGAGGCTGTGACATCAAAGAGAACCACCTTCCTTATGGAGGAGGTCTATTCTTGGTCAAGGGCATGTGACTATGTATGTTCCCCTATTGGAGCACTAGTAGAACTATCCTGTTCAAACCAAGCTCACTCTCGGGAAGTAATGGGATGACGCAGTAAGTCGTGGCACACATTAAGAGCCTGTCTGTTCTTTTATCATAACTCTATCATAGCTCACTCCTGTTCTTGCTACTGCCTCAGCAATTTTTCCAAACTATGAATTCCATCAGTCCTATAATTCTTAGATGATTTCTTATTCCTGTCTCTCTGAAAGTGCAGGACAAATATTCCTGATTAAATGAAAGATGATTTAGGTGATATGTAGGCATGGCATTAATGATAAGCGAGAAATGTATTTCTTGTTGAATGATCTTTACTGTCTTCTACATTTGACAATGAGGAAGAATCTGGGTAAGAATAATATATCTAACACTTTCTAATCTCCATTTGTAATAAGGAGAACAGGCCTCAAGGTCAGTGTTCCAAAATTAATTATATCATGCCACAGTTTTAATAATATTGTTTTCTTTTAAAAATTTATGACAAATTCTTTCAGTTTTTCATATATGGCTGTGACATAAAATTTTAATGTCTTAAACATTAGATGAATATATCATAAGAACTACTATTAACTTTCTTGGGGTGACAATGGGATTTTAGTTATTCCGTTTTAGTTTATTTTAGTTAAGAAAAAGTTATTGCCCTTTAGAGATGCATCTGACCATAGAGATGAAAGCATGAGTGAATGTGATTTACTTATAGTAACTTAGTGGAAAGGTGCTCAAGTGTATAATGGTGAAGGTGGTGACGGTGCTAAGGGAGTACATAAAAGAACCACCTTTGGACATGGGTTGATATTTGTTGTATTGGACACATGTAGATTTATTATACTGTTAGCCAGCTTTCTGTTATTATAATAAACACCTGAGATAGATTAACTTATATAAAGAAAAGGTTTATTTTGGCTCACAATTTTGCAGGTTTCAGTCCATGACTGATTGACCCATTGGTTTTGTGCTTGTGATGAGGTAGCACATCATGGAAAGAGCATATGGAGGAGTAATCTGTTGATTACTTTGTGACTAGGAAATGAAAAAGAGAGAAAGAGTTCAGGGTCTCATAATCCTTTTTGAGGGTACACCCCTAGTGGCCTAAAAACTTCCATCAGGCCCCACCTCTTAAAGTTTCTACCACCTCCCAATAGTGCCATGTTGGGGACCAAGACTTTAACACATAAGTATTTGGGGAAATTTCAGATTCAAACTATAGCACATTTTTTCTGTGTGGTGCTGGGGATTGAACCTAGGGGCTCAAGCATGCTAGGCAAGGGCTCTACCACTGAGCCACATCCTAGCCCCACAGTGCATGTTAATGTCTCTATTATGTATATTTGAAAATTTCCACAGGAAAATGTTTCAGACTTAAACTTAACTCTTAGGCAATGTTAAATAAATGTTAAAAAAATAATATGGAAAAATAAGTCAATTCACAGAAAAACTATTAAGCAAATAAGAATATTATAAGTGGTATGTGGGTAGGCATTAGTCAGATTCTTGAAGTCTATAAAACACTGGCCTGCTGGAAAAAGTCCAAGCTCCTACTTGGGGACCTGCAGTCCTCTCTGTTGAAGCCTTTTCCTACCTCCTTTCTGGCCACTTGGACTGCAGCACTGTCAGGTCACCAGTAGTTCCCAGTGGGCCAGGCTCTTACATATGTGCATCTTTATGCAGACTCTTCTGTTTTTTAGAATGCTTTCCAAACACATTTGCTCAGATAATTCCTGCTCATTCTTTAAGCCCATCCCAAACAATGGAAGTGAAAAGAAAGGAACCTTGTGAGACATTCTGAAGGAGAAGCAATTGAAGCCACTTGGAGACTAGTTGTGACTTGGTGTCATGATAAGGAGTCAGGAATAACACCGAGGTCTTAATGATGTAATGAATGGTACCCCTGACAGACTAGGGAGGCTGGAAAGGGGATGTGTTCTAGATGATCAGTGGTGTGTTAGTCAGGTATTCACCAATGTGACAAAAATACCTGACCAGAACAACTTAGAGGAGGGAAGAATTATTTTGAACTCACAGTTCCAGGGGTTCAGTCTGAGGTGAGCTGACTCCATTGCTGTGGGCTCTAGATGAGGCAGAACATCATGTTAGAAGGTCAGAGCCAAGGAAAGCTGCTCTGCAGAAAGAGAGTTGAGAAGTCAGGGATAAAAGATAAAACCCAAAGGAACACCCCTAGTGATCTGACTTCCTCTAGCCATGCCCCAACTGCTACACTTACCACCCAATTAGTCTATGCAATTTATTAACCCATCAATTAATCAAATGGATTGATATACTGATCAGGATACAGCTCTCATAATCTTTGCCTCTAAGCCTTCCTGCATAAACACAGGAACTTTTGGGGGATACCTCATATTCAAACCTTAATAAGTGGTAACTGAAGATTTAGATATGTTGAATTTCGGATATCCCCGATGGCTCCAAGATGTTGGGAGCAGCCGAAAACTGGATGGGGGCCATTTTTCTCCAGCCAGATATTGAGTCTTTAGTAGATAATCCTAGGATAGAAATGATATAGAATCCTATTGCTCCTCTTTCTCCTTCCTGTCAGTCATATATTGAGCATTATTCTGCTGACAGTGAGGCAGAGTAAAAGAAGGGAAAAGGTATGAAATACAAATGAGTCATTTGCTGCTTTTTAGGAGTGTTGAGAAAGCTTTGGGGGTTGGGAGAGTTAGAAACTGTGGGTTTATATAAACTTTTCCATTATGACAGAATTCTAATTATATTCCTCATCCACAATTGTTCTTACTTCAGTTTGTTCAGAAGAAGCCATAGTTAATGCAGGTTCACCATGGCTTGTGAACTGCAGGGATAACTGGAAACATTCTACAAGACCTACCTGAATATCATGGCCTTTTATATCACTTGATCTTTAATGAGGAGAAACAATATAGTTACAGCACCTAGGGAGATGAGGTGGGTTCCTTTCCCTATGCATATGTTGCCCCACAGACACAATGAATGATGCTTGTTCTGTTTTCAAGTTTCTGCAGCAAAGAGCTACTTCTGTATTGGTCTGTTAACACTTCAACCATTCTATTTTGGTTCTTCGAGAGGCAGCTTGCTGTTCTGGCATGCTAGACAAGGGAGGATTTGATCTAAATTTAGTTGGAGTAAATATGACATTGCTCTTCCACTGGATTGGGATTTTCCATTTATAGAATGATGAGTTAGTTTTACCTTCGTCCTTTCTAACACCCATCCCAATGTCCCCACTCCCTTCCTTGGCAGCAGAGGTTAGAGTCCAGTTCTACTGAGATGTTTTTGCAATTGTCATCATTTATTCTTTTGTATTTAAAACTGAGGAATGCATGATTACCCCTCTGGATCTCCTGGTGAGTATAGGATTTTACACTATTTGCATTGTATAATTTATGACATGCTTGGAGCTCACTGTTAGGACTTGTAAAAAGTAGAAAGGATGAATCTGTAGGAGAAAAAGAAAAAAGAGGAAATGAACACATAGCATAGTGCAGTTATTCAGTGAAATACAAAATCTTGCCATAGTTTGTTTTGTTTGAATCAGATTTTACTTCTCAGGACCCACTTGTTTTCCATTTGCACCAACCCAGTCCTTTTGGTGTTGACATTTTGTACTCTGAAGTTTTTAAGATGTCATGCTTGGTGATTTGTTCTTTGGGAAACTGTTTCTTGAAATGCCAGGTTGTTCTCATCTTATATGGAGTTTGGAGTCTACCACGGATGTTATTTTAATTTTAATGGTGAGTTCTTTTATATTTCACTTAATTCAACCCAAGATTTTGTCAATAGATTCAAATTTACTTTAACACATGAAAAGAGAGGGAACAGAAAGGTTCTTAGGACAAAATTATATCCTTTTTAAAATTGAGGCTGTTGGTTGGTTTGTGTTCTTGCTTTAATGTACATTTTCATTATTTAGGGTGAAACAAGTGTTCATAAAGGTGATTTGTGAATATATGAAAAAATAAGAGATGCATGAGAGTTGTGCATAAAATCTCCATGGTATATTTAAACACACTCAACAGCTACCCTAAAGAGCAAATTTAGTACTTATCCAAATTGGAAAGCCAATGAGAGGTTACTGTGGGCATGGATGGAGTCTTTATTCAAATAGTCATTTAGTATGGTTGCTGCTCCAATGTATCCCTCTGATGGTGTGGGTAGATTTATGCCTGTCCATTAAGGCATTTATCACTCTTTATTATGCTTTAGAATCATACAGGGAAGATTTTTCACAATAAAGTATCTGCCAGGCCTTGAATCCCATGGATTCTGAGTCAGTCATTCTGGGCTCTACCCCAGAACACTGATTCAGATCCTCTGAGGGGCAGGGCCTGGGAAATCTGTATTGATGTTCACAAAAGAATGGAAATACCAGACTTATCTAGTAGGGATGGCCCTTGACCAACATTATTTAACATCCCAGGACATTTTGAGCTAGGGATCAGGTTGAGGTTAATTCATTAGGGTCTGTGAAAGAATTTGGGAATTCTTTCTCCCATGAGATTGTCTTGAGAGTAGATGATGACGACACAAATCACAATGACAAGTGGCACCAAGCTGTATATCAATCAAGCTCTTGTTTTCTCTAAGTAGAGGACTTTGCACTTGTTCTTTATGGATATGTGATTTTTGTCTGATTAATGGGTATTGTTCGATGAGCATCTGCCCTCATGTTCTTAAAATATTTATCATTAGTTAAATCAACATTTTTTTCTAACAATTATAAGGACTTGGAAAGAATAAAAGTACCCTCAGTCTTTGTTGACTGTATTCACAAAAAACAATACCTGAACTATTTCACCATGTTTTTTTGAAAAAAATTAATTTGCCATAAAAGTGACCTTTCTTTGTCAGTGAGTACAATTTTATAGATTGATTTTAGCTTCAGTACGCCATTATTGCTGTCAGAGGTGAGTAGGGAATTTGTATTCCCCTTTCCTCCATCCCATTTTAGAACCAGACTGTGTAAAAATTGGAGATGGTAAAAGCATTGTGCTAGGAATAGTAGGACTTTAATTCTAGTACTTTATTTTTCTTAGTTCTGTGACCTCTGGCAAGCCACTCAATGTCTCTGGGTTTCATTTTCCTTATGTAAAACACATCCATAACATGTCTGAAAGCAGGGGACCAGACCAGTTAAACTCTTAAAGCCCATTTCACTGCCTGACTATAAAGGAGAGAAGTATGTCTAAGGCAAGGTCAAGTCAAGTGGGGTGGGCTGTGAGGGAGGGGTCCTCAGGGCTCCACAAGACTATGCAGCCCTGCTAGCGTTATCCTTCAACCACCTCGCCAGTCTTGCCCTTGGTTGCTATGGTTTTCCACATCTCCTAGTTGGTAGATGCTTTTTTTTTTTAACCAAATAATGTGTGATAAAGCCTCAGTGGGGCTCCTGAATCATTTGTGAGGAATTAGATATAATTTTCCAGAGTTGTTTATTGGCTTAGAGAGTTGCAGTGGTAAAAACATGTACTTGTTAATTCACAGATATACATTTATGATTAGGAAGCATTTTAATGAAACATTCATGACTATTTCCTGCTTTTTTCTGAAAAAAATAAATTCAACACTGTAGGGTTTTTTGTTTGTTTGTTCAATTGCTTATTAGAGTGCTTTTTTCTGCCTGGGTAATATAAAGATGTAGTTAATGTTTTTTCCCCCCTGTTTTGCAAAGATGTTATTGAACCCACAAATATACTCTGGTCTCTAGAGGAGAAAAAAGGTTTTTACTTTTTAAATTACTGAAATAAAGGGAAACGATTACATGGTAATAGTTCCATTTGCTGTGTGAGAATTCCACAGAAAATAATAACACTAGATAGATTAATTACTGTGGTGATTTTTGAAGCATAGGATGCTGTCATACTGCAAACATTGCTTGTCTGTGGTGGGCTTTCTGGGCTACATGGCTTCAGTGTGCCCCTACAGATTCACTTACTGTCCTGTACATCCTCCTTAGTGCCCTGGGAGGCTGTATCACATGACTACATCTACTGGTGTCTTAGTCAGCTTGGACTGCTCTAACAAAATACCACAGGCTGTTTGAACTAACATTTATTTCTCACAATTCTGCAGGCTGGGAAGTTTAAATCAAGGTGCTAGCAGATCTGGTGTTTGATGGCTTGCTGACTGCTGCCTTCGTACTGTATGAGAGAGAGAGAGAGAGAGAGAGAGAGAGAGAGAGAGAGAGAGAGCGCTGTTCTCCTCTCTTTCTCTCTTTGAATACGAATTGCATCATGAGTGATCCACCTCATGACCTCATTTAAGTTTAACTACCTCCCCAAATTTCCACATCCGATCATCACACCAAGGTGAGGTTTCAACATACGGATTTGGGGATATAGGTGGCACAAACATTCAGTTCATAGCAACCAAGCTCCCTTGTCTTGCCCTCTGGACTAAGGCTGGGCTTGTTCAACATAAGACACTGGTAGGAGGGCTGGAGAAGAGTGAAGTCAGGGTGTTCTCCTGGCTTCCACCTGTTGGGCTGTATCTACTGTTGGGCATCCTGGACTCTCTCCAGTGTTAACTTCAAGGGGAATCTGTAGCTCTGTCTTGCTGTGCTGTTTTTCTGCATGTCTTAATTCTGCCCCCCCTCTGCAAATAATCACTTATTAAACCCTCCTCAACTTCCCATTCTAGAACATAGTGTAGTTCCTGCTAGAACCTTGACTGGTGTCTGAAGAGTTGGTCACAAAAGACTTCTTGAGAACTTTCTTGCAACATTAATATCTGTTACTGCACTTGATGTTACTTATAATACTTATTTCTTTTTTATTCTAATTTGTTGTATATGACAGCAGAATGCATTACAATTCAAATTATACACATAGAGCCCAAGTTTTCATATATCTGGTTGTACACAAAGTAAAATCACACCATTCATGTCTTTACTTCTTGATTGACTCAGGGGAAATGGATACTGAAGCGATTTGGCCAAGAAACCACAAACTTCCTTGATCAAAAAAGAAAAAAAAATGTGTCTTCTTCTATCTTCTTATTTTAAAAATGATAGTAATTGCTAGGGGAGGTGTGGAAGATGAACATTTTGCATTTTCTGGTGAGGTGATAAATCTCTATAATTTTGTTGGCAAGAAATTTGTCAGTTTATAGTAATGGCCTTCAAAATATTTAATTTATTGATCCAGTAATTCTGCATCCAGCAGTCCATCCGTAGGAAATATTGCAATGAGAGATGCAGCTTTTTATTGTTATAACTAAAATACCTAACAAGAACAACTTAGAGGAAGGAAAATTTATTTTGGGCTCATGGTTTCAGATTCTGTAGCCTGCAGGTTCCGTTGCGCTGGTCCCAAAGTGAGACAAAACATTATAGCAGAAGGGGGTGGTGGAGGAAAGCTGCTCAGCTCATGGCTGATGTGAATCAGAAAGAACGAGCCATGGGGAAAAGAAGTAACCCCTATGAGTGTGGCCCTGGTGATCTGCTTCCTTCAGCCACGCCTCTTCTTCCTACAGTTACCACTAAGTCCATTCAAATTATTAATCCATCAAATGGATTAATCCACTGATTAGGTTGCAGCTCTCATACTCTAATTATTTCCCTTCTGAACATTCCTGCATTAACACAGGAAATATTGGGGGACATTTCATATCCAAACCATAAGATTCTGCTCCTGGGCCCCAAAAGTTTATGTCCATCTCATGATGCAAAATGCATTTAGTCCATCTCCAAGAGTTCCATAGTCTTAATAGTTCTAGCACTGCCCCCAAAGTCCAAGTCCAAAGTCTCACCTCAGACTCAAGGCAAACTCCTGCCTGTGAGCCCCTGTAAAGATCAAAAGCAAGTTATACACATCCACTATATAATGGTATAGAATAAACTTTCCATTCCAAAAGTGTGAGATAGGGCCTAGAAAGAAGAGATGGGACCAAAGCAACATCAAAATCCACCTGGGCAAGAAGTCCTGTAGTTCTACATCTAGCAACCGGGGCACATGGTGGTGAGACTTGCCTCTTATGATCTCCAAAGGACTTGGGCTGCCATACCGCTATGTACTTGCTAGTTGCAGGTCTTATGGCCTTTCTCTTAGACTGTCCACAGCCAGCAGCTTTCATTGGCAGATATTCAACGTTATTGGTATCTCTTAATTTTGGGAGTCTCCACTGCAGCTTCAACTTCATTCTCATAGCTTCATGTACTCCCTCTTCATGTTCTTCCTTTAGAAATTCTGTACCTGCTATGCTTTACCTGGCCTCCCAAGCCTTACCTTGAACTCTAGGTGGAAGCCTCCATGACCCTCTAATTCTAGCATCCTGCATTCCTACAAAGCTCATACCACATAGATGATGCCAAGGTCTTCCACCAGCTCAAGCAGTATACAGATCCTCTTGA